TGTGAAATACTTTTTAGACTGGTAGCAGAAAGCTAAAACATACAGCCATGCCCTCATACAGGTATTGCAGGTGTGAGAGCAAACAGCAATCTTTGTTACATGAAAAGGGTCTTTGTTCCTGAAGAAGTCCTTAAAGGAAATAGATCACATTTTGAAAGACCAACCCAAATGCTGTGGAATTTACTTCTGTTAAAGCTAAAGAGAAAAGTGATTATTTACCTCCCACTACTGACCTCTCCTTATCCTACAGACAGCATGTTTCCTGCCTTACTCTTTGGAAATACAGAGAACTTTCCCATTAATACGGCCTCCATACTAGGAGTATTTTGTATCTATTCTGTCAGGTGGTCCATCTGCTTGGTGTTTAATCAAGCTTAGGGAAGTCATTCTTGATGCATATTTAGCTTTTGTGGTTGGTTCAGTCTTGGGTCAAAAAAGTTTGTATTTCTGTATGTGGTTATTGCTTTCGTAAGATATTACCACTAACCTTACAAATCTCATGTAGAGTACCATGACCACAGTAACACTATTTCTGTAAGAACAGTATAGCTCCAGGGTGAAAAATACTCTAATTTTGGTTGATTTCAGTTTTGTGCATCGGTACAACTTTGTGGAGGGATTTGAGGGTTTTTCCGTTTTTAAGGTCTCTTTATCCATATACACAAGAAACCATTTTATTCAGGAACGTTAATGTGGTTTTCTCATAACCTCCAGAAGACTTCTGAGCCCCTAGCACATTTCTTTTCTCCTCTCCAGAGAAGAGGGTTCATATTAAATATTACTTCATTAGAAAAGGTGTGAGTTCAGAACTTTAAGCATGTTCATTTGAGTGAGTGACACTTAAAATAAAACCCAGGGTAGAACTTTTCAACTTTTAACCTTCATGTTTTTATAAGCCCTAAATACAGAACGCACAAGAGGGCAAGCCTTGCGCTCAGTGTTCTCTGCTTTTGTAGCACATCTGTCGCTCTGTTTGGTGCTGTTTCTACAGTGGTGAAAATATAACTGCCTACTCAGAAATGTGTGTATGGATATGTTTTAGAACACTGTTTAGTGCCACATTGCCTTTTCATTGCTTTTTGTGTTCTCTGATGCCCTGTAGACCAGTGGTGATGCCACCAGTTTAGCTTTATGTGCTGTATGGTTGTAACTGTCAAGCATAATTTAAATAGTTTGTTACAATACTTTCTTCTATAGTATGTTAAATAGCACTTCATGTCTTAATTTGAAACAAGGTTTCCTCATCCACGTTTGCCTGGAAATAGAGAGGTTAAATATATTTAAATTTCCTCCCTCTCGTTGTCTTAAGAAGTTCATTGTCACCAATAGTATGTGTTCAGTTCATGAGGAATAAACTTTTTTTTTTTTTTGGCTTGTGCATCAGCTGGTGCTTGAAATGATTACATAGGAGTTACGGTTCTGGAATCAGCTGGAGCTGCCATCCTGCAATTAATTAAAGCAATGCTGAATTTTTGCAGGCTCTCTTATAAAAGGCTGCTTTGTGCTAGAGCAGCTTTATGTTGGTTAGCATATTTGTGGCATTGTGGCTGCCCTGCAAGGCTGAGGCTTTGATGAATTACATGCAGTAGTTTAAATTGGAGGCACCTTCTCCCCCCACAGTGGAAAAGAACCTGAGAATTTTAGTCAACAGCTGGCTGACTGCGAGCCAGCAATGTGGCCAGGGAGGCTGACAGCATCCTGGCCTGTATCAGAAACTGTGGACAGTGGGACCAGGGAAGTGACTGTGCCCCTGTACTCGGTACTGGTGAGGCTGCACCTCAAATCCTGTGTCCAGTTTTGGGGCCTTCACGACAGGAAAGATATTGAGATGCTGAAGCGTGTCCAAAGAAGGACAATGAAGCTGGTGAAGGGTCTGAAGAATATTTTATGAGGAGTGGCTGAGAGAACTGGAGTTGTTTAGTCTGGAGAAAAAGAGGCTGAGGCGAGACCTTATCCCTCTCTCAAACTATGTGTAAGGAGGTGTAGTGAAGTGGGAGTCTGTCTCCCATGTAACAAGTCACAGAAGAAGAAATAACCTTAGTTTGCACTGCAGGAGGTTTAGATTAGATATTAGGAAAGGTTTCTTTACTTGAAGAATGGTGAAGCATTGGAACAGGCTGCCCAGGGAAGTGGTTCCGTCACCGTCCCTGGAGGAATTTAAAAAGACATGTAGAAGTGGTGCTTAGGGACATTTAGTGGTTTAGTGGTGGACCTGGCGTTGCTAATTAGTGGTTGGACTTGATGATCTTAAAGGTCTTTTGCAATCTAAACAATTCTGTGATTCTAAGATCATAGCATGTGTCACCTGTCTTCAGGGCTACTTGTAATGAACTGGAACTGAGAATCACTACATCAAGTAGGACTGACACTGCTACAGAAACAGCTGAAAAAATGACACCGACAAGATCAGTTTTGTGAATTGAGGCCTTTGAACTTTCAGATTCTTGTCCATTTACTGAACATGAAAATACATGCTGAGACTAAATTTCTGTGAAAGAGGGCAAGTATAGAGCTGGCCTTCCCCTAGTGTATACTTTTAGCTCCTTACTGATCAGTGAGAATTTCAGTTTCGCTTAAACTGTTGGACTTAGCCAGCAAGGGCCTGGTAGTTGGTGTCTTACGTGATCTGAAGTTGCTATTTAATGTTAAAACAAAAAATCTGTGAGCTTTTTAGTGTGATCCCTAAGGAAGTAAGACTTAATGTGATCACCCTTTGTATTCTGCTAAGATTTGATGTGATGAGTTGAAGTAGGGATGGCTTCACACGTATTTGAAAGCATGCTGATACTTTAAAAGATATCTAGATCTGCAAGCTGCATGAAAATAGTGTCTGAAGCATGAGAAAACAAATCAACTTACCTTGCAGCGTATTTTATGTCATGTAATCCAACAAGCAGGACAAATCCATAGGAAACCAAGCTTTCAGTTTTGTCTATTTTTCTTCAGAGACCATAATAGTTTTTCTTTGCATGGGTGTGTTGATGTTTGTGGTGGTGTCCATTTGTAAGGTAACTTGTAGTGTGTTATTTTGGAATTTGGTAAGGTTGCTGTAGCTTGCTTTTGGGAAGCTTGCACAAATGAAGCTCCCAGGTTAACACTGCTTGCCTGTCCAATTTTCAGATATAGTTTACTTTAGTGGTTAGAGACTCAAAACTGGTAAGTTGTTAATTTGATGTTTCTGTCATACTGCACTAAGTAAAAATCTATCTGCTTGCTTAATTTCATGTGTTATAAAGAAGACCCTGCTTGCAGCATATCCTCAGATAAGAGCCTTGGAGCTCTGGATTTTTCTTGTTCATTCCTTGGCCTGAAGTAACCTGGATTCCATCATTTGGGCCTAATGTAAAAGAAACTTCAGGATGAAGGCTGAGGATGTTTAAATCTTTTACTTTCTTTTACCTGATAATGTTGCTTTTGCTACAGAATAGTAATTTGCAGCACTAGGGGAAACTCAGGGCTAGCATCACTAAGAAACAATTGTGAAAGCAAGTATTACATATTCTGTTTTGTTGTTGTTTTGTTGGTTTTGGGGTTTTTTTGTGTGAGTGTATAGTGGGTTTTGCTGTGTGGCTTTGGTTTGGTTTTGGTTGGGTTTTTCTTTTTCACCTTTCCACAGCAGTAACCCTGGCTGGCCTATGATGATCTTTGCTTCCCTAAGCAAACATTGTTCTATAGATATTCTCTAAGAGCAGGCACATAGGAAAAGGTGCAAGAGTACGGAAACTTTGATACACCACCTCCTAAGGTTCGGCAACTCGTGGGATAAAAGCAGTATTTCAGAGGCTGGATGAATGTTTAGGAACTTGGTGTGGGGTGTAATGGATTAGTTTCACAGAACCCTAGAAGGATTTTGGTGAGTTGCTGGCTAAACTGCCGGTGGGGTAAGACCAAAACTAGTAGCTCTTGCTGAGTTCAGGACTAATTCCTTACGCTGTTTTTTTTCTTCACACTTTAAGCACTGGCTGATCCATTAATGCAGCAAGTCTATCCTTGACAAAAGAAGATTATACAGCTAGTGTGAGTGAACTCAGTGGTTATGAAAACTGTTTTATATATTTGCATTTTTGGCAAATAGAAGAGGTAATGATTTAGTGACTCTTGAACCTTTGAATAAGATTACAAGATAGAAAAATGATAAAAAGGTATTTGAAGACAACCTGCGTAAATAAAAGCATGAAGTACTACATTTGAAGATGCTTACCTTTAGTGCTTTTTGATACTGCAAGAGAGCTATGTAGGCTACTACTTATTTTGTAGGTGGTCCTCAGTTTCCTTTTGGCAGACATGCATAGAGAAGATATTGTGGATTCATTTCTGATTCTTGCTCGTGTTCATTTTGTATCTGTTTATGAATAAGAGGTTTCCCACTGAGCCACAAAGAGGCTGCCTGAGATTTTATTCGTCTAGTATGAGAAACAGGCAAACAGTGACGGATCAGAAAATAAGCATGCTTTTTCTTTTGATGATACCGATTCCCCAGAACAGATAACATAATCTATGTATGGAATATCTTTGATGGTGTACCTTCAGTCAAACTGAGCTGTCATAGAAGACAGAAGCTTTAAAGACAGTGGCAGTTTGACTCACAGGATGTCTTTTGGAAGCACTTGCATAGGGAGATTCCTATTTGCTGATTGGAGGTGGCTACAGATTTTGTGATTTTTGTGGCAGGAGGAAATGGCCTACAGTTAACCACAGCTTTGTTGCAGAAAACTATGCATGATATGTACAATGGTGTTTTAAATGATCTGTGATGTATGTGTATCAGTCTGTTAAAAACTGAAAATGTACAAAGTGCCAAAATTGTGCAAATGGTTTTCCTCACAGGAATTCATGAAAATATTCCAATAAAATTGCAGTAATTCAGCTGAGTGTTAAAGTTTGTAGTAGTTATGTACTTGTACTAAAATTTTTGTTGAGTGGACTACTGGAGGGGAGTCTTCTCAAACAAAGGGGAAATAAAGGCTAGTTTGCTTATTTTTGTTTCCCTTCCTCTTCAGCTCTCATCAAATACATCCGACCAGTATTTGTATCTCGGTCAGACCAGGATTCTCGCAGGAAAACTGTTGAAGAGATAAAGAGACGTGCTCAGTCTGATGGTAAATGGCCACAGGTACTGTAGACTACTACTATATGACAGATGATATTTGGCATTTTGGCTTTGGATATGCAGTTTACTTTTTTCCTTGTGGGATGCTTTCGGTGTTTTGGGAGGAGGGTTGATGTTGCCTTCGCTTTTCTAGAAGATACAATGTAAAGTTCTCATCTGTACAAAACCCTGGCTTTTCATTGCTGTCTCTTTGAAGGGGAGACTGGGTAAGTAAATGGGAAGACAGATCTGTTAGGTCATACAAAATGCACAGACCACAGCAAGTTTAGAAAGTCCTCTAAGAAGAAAATAACCAAGTGCTCAGCAGAGTACTCAGGGAGTAGTGCGAGTTCTTGCCCATCTCCAGATTCTGGCATACTGTCATTGTTGGAGATACAATACTGACCAAGACACCCCAAGCAATTCAAAAGTTCCAGTAACCTGGAGTACACCTTTATGGAGCCGCATGATGAAGAAATTGCTAAAACAAATAAATCACTCAAGGTTCTTTCTGCACCTGAAGTATGACTATTCATAATGTGCCTTGGTAGAGAGTAATGGGAAGGAAGGGATGACTACCTAAGGTCTCAGTTTTCTAGAAGCATGTGGTTAATTTGAAGATTTTAAGCACTCTTCTTGTGATTTTTTTTGAGATTAAGAAACAGTATGTCTTTCATGGCATTGTTACTAATACAGTGCCCCATACCGAACTGCAGAAATATAGGGTTATACACAACGGGACAGAAAGGTGATACACAGCTTTTCCATCATGACTTTCATTGATAGATTTCAAAGCACTTTAAAAAGTAAATATTTGTACTTACCCCTAAATAAGCTGAGTTACAGAGCTGAAGTGATTTCTGGAATAGCTAGCAAGCTAGTGATGCTATTTCTAGTCCATTGCTTTGTCCCCATATGATATGTATTTATTTCCTTTATATGTACAGCAGTTCTTGGCTTTTTGCTATTCAAAATGTTTCTTTTTTCCCCAGTCTAACCTCTTCTTCCAAATTCAGTTCAACTTTGGATGTTTTTTGCCTTGTTTGAATTCTATTTAGGTGTTTTCAGCCTCTGTTATTCTGACATCACATACCAAGTAATAAATGCAAAAAGAAAGTAACGGTCTTCCTTTTCTTAGCCTGTAAGTGGATAGTCTGGGAGCAGGGATTATGTTTTGATACAAAACAGAATATGATACTTATAACAACACCAAAACCTTCTGTGTAAATTTTATTGTACTTACAAGTGTTTCTGGCCACTGTCAATGTCCCAGTCAGATAGAACTGTTATCAGAGATCAGGAAAAGGCAAATGCACAGATAAAGAAAAGTGTTTTTACTGTTAAGACAGAGCTTTTCTCAACTTCTTTACTGAGCACTGTTTTTTTTACCCTACCTGAACTGTTTTTCCCTGAAAACTTTTTTTTTTATTACTGTAATCAGTTAATGTTAGCTTGAAAAGATGAGTTTATAAATAAATCCACGTGGAAATATTCTTAAAAGTCAACTTTTTTTTTTGCTTCAAGATAATGATATTCCCAGAGGGCACTTGCACAAACCGATCCTGTCTAATTACATTCAAGCCTGGTAGGTATGGTGCTCGTTTCTCTGTTCTCTACAGAATGTTCCTGTATCTTCATTTTCTGAATACCACTTGCATTGTAATTTTATTGCTGTTGCAGAAGTTGAGTAAAAAAATCTTGCAGTAGGGTGAAATTGGAATAGAAATTTTCTGATGCTACAGAAGGATGGTGGCTTCACTGTTGAGCATAATACTGTAGATAATTCAGATTTTTTTCTTGGCTTCTGAGATGCATATGAGCTTGAGGACTAATGTTTCTTACTGGGTTTTTGGTTGTGGTTGCCTTTTTTATTTTCTTTCTTTCTTGCCCCCTTTCTTTCCTATTTTGGGTCTGTCATGTGGCATTTAGATACACTATAAAGCTTGAGGTACCAGCATGTATCTATTTCAGGCTGCTGCAGCATTTGTTGCTGGGTTGTATGTGATTGATTCCTCTCAAACTCTTTTGTTGAGTTGCATTCTGGTGAAGACAGCACAAGGGTCTTGCTGGTATAGCACTGTCATAGAGGCTGTCAGTTTTACAGTAGTTTTTAATTTAACATCCACGTTCTAAAATCTTTTCAGTTAGCAAATAAGCTAAAAGGGTGAAACACTGAACATTGTTGTAGCTGTAAACTGCAGTTACTATAGGGAGAAATGCCAGTACTGCAGTGAGCCACCAATGTTTAGCGTAAACTTGTGTTTGTGACGTAGGTAAGGAGTTGGTGATTGAGGAGGCTGCAGTGGCTGAGACAGTTGTGAATGTGTTTTGTGACTTTTTCTAGATTTCTACCTTATCTCATTGTGTCCTGGTCTTGCCATGTGTCTTATATTTTGTATATCTTACAACTTGTATATCACTATTAGAATATCATGCAGTGATATTTTGATTCCTTGCACTGATTTGGCTGAAGGAATTTCAGTATTGTTTCGTGAACTGGCATTCAAAAAACCTTTCCTTCCTCTTCTCTTGGCTCTTTGCCTTTTTAGATGAATGAGTGCTGGTTAGGAGAACATCCACTTCTTTCACTCTTTACTCTCCTTCTCTCTCCATGTGAATCCTGGCCGTGCTTTGAAAACCAGCCTGAATCCTTCATTAAAGCCCTGATTTCCTGCCCTTCCCCTGTGCCATAGACATTCCAGGCACCATGTACTTCCTGCTTCAAATCCTCACTCTATCTTCCTCTACTCTGCTCTAGTACCTGCTGCTGTCTACCTCTTGACTGTCACACTTTTCCTACTGGAACCTGCTTCTTTGTCCATCCATCCTTCCAGAAATCCTTTGCCTTGAAATTCCTCACGTATATGATATTACTTTGTGTCTCTATTCAAGTAACTCCTTTAAGGATGCCTTTTGCCATTCTACTCACATGGTCCACACTCCTCTTGCTACACAGTTTTTTGGTTTTGTGTTTGTGCGAACTGGGCGTAGAGGACAGGGGAGTCTAGGTTTTTTTAAATGCTGGATTGTCATCTGCTCAGATTTTGTCAGATTCTTTCCGAAGTTGCTTAGGCTGTTGTTCTTGGAGACTGAATAGAAGGTATCGCTAGTCCAAGAACCAAATTTCTGCTGGATCCTGATTTAAAGGTGTTTATGCTCCATTAACAATTACTTCTTTTACATCTGGGAAATTATTCTGTAAAGCAGGCATAATGTTAAGAATATAGTATACTCCTATCATTTGTTTCTTAATTTTAATTGAAATATTAGGCAGAGTGTAGTAAATTGCTGTAACTAATATAGTTTGAGGGAAGCTGTCTTTTTAATTGTTTTTCCAAGAAAAAAAAATGTTTAAAGAAATCTTAAGCAAGATAGTTATCATGCTGTGCCAATTTTTGTGCTAGAAACTAAGAAAATGATTAGCAGATGATACTTAGAGATCTTGTGCTTCTTGTTTATGAGAACTGTAAATTTCACATGAAATGAGGTGACAGTTTTGCACAATAGTTCTAGTTGAGTACTTTATAACTCTAAGATTTTTCCATAGCTACAGAATAGAAGTTACATTAATTCTGTTATTTCAGATTTGACAAATTTCCCATAAATGAGTGTTATTCAGCTAAACAAAAAACTTATTTTGCATAAGAAAGCTTAGATTCTTCACCAGAAGATACTGTTGACCCCAGGGAATATATTGACATATGTTGCACATACTCATATTTTTTTAATCATATATCAAGCTGAATTTGGTACTGGGCTTTGACTTGTATGCATGATAATTTATGTGAGTGGTAGAGGATAATTTAGGGAACGTAAGCAAGTATTCTTAATTATTCATTTACTGAAAAGGTGCGTATACATTGTCATTCTCCAGTGCTTGCTTTTTAGATTACTTCTAAGGCTACTGCAAGATCTTATTTTTTCACTGTCAACTAATTCCTGTGCATGTCAGCCTACTGATTGTGTAATTTTTTCTTTGCTGCAGTACATTTCTTCTGTATCAAAATGCACTGTAGAGTAATTATGTATCATATGTGCCTTCTAGGAGCATTTATTCCTGGAGTTCCTGTACAGCCGGTGGTTTTACGTTACCCAAACAAACTGGTAAGTTCAGCTTGCAGTGTAGTTGGAAATACTGGGGCTTTTAAATGCATTGGCACTTCTGTGATCTTTAAGGTTGAATAATTAGGTTTAGAAGTTGGGAAAGCATTAATACTTATTGGCTAAGTGTGTATCCCTTAAGCCTCTAGCAGTAGTCTTGACTGATACAGTTTAAATGTTTCTGCTTTTATTAGGTTAGTCCTAAATAACGCTCTGAAAGTTTGTTACAGGAAGTGCTGTACAAATGACAATAAAAATGTCAATTTCTGTTTAGGATCTGTGCCCATGTGCTCTCTGTTACTGCAATTTGTGCTGGGGAGGTGTCTTAATGTCACTTATTGCTGGAAGATGATTCTGCACCGCCTGCCTCTGGGGATCTTAGTCACAGATCGGTGCAACTAGCTACACGATAAAAGGATGTGTTGAGGAACTCAACACCTTTGTAAGGTGTCCATGTATTGCATCTACTGTGCACTTGGGTTAGGAATGCTAGACACTAGTTAATTTGGAATAGTTCTTCAATATAAATTGGATTTAGATAAAATTAAAATTAAAGTTTAATTTAGATATGACTAAACACAATTTTTACAAGTGCTTGCAAAGATATAGGCAAACAAATTAAGGCAAAGGTCACTTCGTCTACTTCAAGATCAAGCATACAGGAAAGCAGAGAAGAGGGATTATTATTATTGTTGTTATTATTATTATTATTATTCAGTTTACCTGATGTAGATACTTTCCTGTCTTACTGCAGCCAGAATCCTATCTATCTGCATTCCTCAGTTAATTAGAAGATGCTTCCTAGTTTTTATACTTGAAGTTTCTTTTTCATCCCTCTGGGGCTCTTTTCAAGTCCAGTCTGTCTCCTTCTACAACAGAAGTTATTTAGAGGAGAGTGGAGGGAGGGTCAGAATTAAAATCAGCACTACCTTGCCTCTTTGCCGATGCATGTCACATAAGAAGCTCTTGTGTCATCTCTCCTACTAGTTTGTTAGCAACCTCTTGATTTAAGGAAGGATTTAGTTTCCTCCTGGTAACTGACTGCTTAGATTTTATAAGTGTTTCTATCTGTTCTTCTTTATGTCAGTTTACAGGTTAGCATAAAACTTATGTTTGATCCAAAAAGAACCTAAGCAAAGTTAATGTCTATAGACCACCGTTTGCTCTTTACTGAGCACTGGGTATGATGGCAGTAAACTAGTTTTCAGTAACAAACACAAAAATTATTTTTGTGAATGCTGTGATAAGAGTTAGCAGCCTGTTATGCTTGCATAGTACTAAGTGCATTGTAGCAAGTTGCCTGGGACTTTTCATTACGTAACTGGTTTATTTTTCAGGAAGAAGGATGTTTTTCTAAAAATATTTTTAAACTTTTATAGCACTGCTGGTTTAAATTGCAAATACATGTATGCTTTATGTCGTACTTAATATACCATGTTACTTTTGGTTAATATTAAACTTTATAACAATATAAAGCTATCAAATATTAATCTGAAAACATCTTTCAAATCCCATTTTCGTATTTAAAAGTTCTTATTGCCTGTAGCACGTAATATGCAGTGTTTGTAAACTGATATTAAATGTTCCTAACAGGCTTTTAACAGAAATTGTGGGGTTTTAACAATACAAATATTAATGAAATTTTTCATAGCTTTTTTATATTACTGCAAAATGTCATAAAAGAACTGTAAATATTTATACAGATATCCATCAGAGTTGGACTGAATTTGTGTATGGAACTTTACTTTTTCCTACCACTTTTAATTGCTGTAAAACACTTCCTTCTCAGTGCCTTATTGAGTCGTTTAACCTCCTAAGGTCTACTCTCACTAAGTTTTAATGGAGGAGGGGTAATTGGTATTACTATTTGATTTTTAGATTAGCTTGCAGGCTGTGGAAACATTGCAGCTAAGAGAATGAGGAGAGGAAGGAGTAGTATGGTGCAATACTAAAAGGTGAGGTTTATTTTGGTTAGGATGTGGTTAAGATGTAGCAAGTAAGAACAACAAAGTAGAGAGAGAGCATTGTTTTTTATACACTAAGATAGCATTTCTAGCGAACTTTGTCTCTGGCTTCCTATTTGTTGTCTTGTTTGACTGCCACATGTTATAATTTTAGGTTAAGAAAGAAATTCCTTATTAAGAACTTTGCTTAGCTAGTGAATTCCAGATACGCTTTGTGTGCAGTCACCCCGCTGCTCTGAGCTTGAACTACCTGCTGGGATCTACCTTGGGAGCTCCAAGTTCCACAGCACAGATGAGAAGAGTCTTGCGCTTGAGCGCACCAGACCGTTTTGGGAGGCTTTTCAAGATCAGAGCCTGTGGTGAATGTCGTAGGTGTGTGCACTCTTTGCACATTTATTTCCTTGTACTCTATTCAAGAAGTGAGGAAGGTGTTACTGTTCTACAGTGGACTGAAACATTGTAAAAGCAATGATAAAAATTTGATTCTTTTCTGGCAAATAAATCTAGCCCTGGTTGCCATTCAAAGCTCTTTTTCTAGTCTAGGGCTATCCCCTGAATACCTTTCTGCTTTGGGCTTGTGATTGTTTGCAGTAGATGAGGCTTGTAGGGCTGTATCAATGTTTCTTCAAGAGTTACCAGTTAATATGTTGCTCCTCTTGATACATGAGCAGAAAGAAATTGTAAGGCTTAAAATATTGTTTAGACTGAAATTTGAAATTTGCCTCTTTATCTAGTTTGGTAGTACTTTGCCTGTTGGATGCTTGGCAACAATTACATGTATTATCATATATTATCATATATATTATCATATAAATGCTCTGATGTCTTCTTCCATAGGTTTTACATCAGTCCTTTCTGCAATTTGTTTTTGCACTACTTTCCTTCCTGTATACAGCTTTTCCTTCATTTGAATACTCTGTCACAGTGCTGGTAATTATGAAAGGCTATATACCTGTTTAAATGTCACTGAGCCGTCTAAAGTGCATTTTTGTATCCAAGTGTCTTCCACAGGCAATTGTGCTATTTGTTAGGAGATTTGGCAGCATCTCTTGTGCAGCTTTGGTGTATCGGGGTTGACTGAGCATTTGAAAACACAGCTGATCTGCTGTTTGAAGCTTATCATGATTCTCAGGGTCGTCTTGTGTCAAATGCAAATAATATGGAAAGCAAACTTCCACACGATTCAAAGGACTCATTATCTAGATACAGGAGTTTCAGAGTGAATGCTGCCCATAAGCATAAGCTGGTAGTTGTGATAGTTGATTTGACTTTTGTTCTGTCATCTCCACACGTCCCAAACACTTGAGAAGTGTTACAGAGTGTCCTTATCTCTTGCCGAGAGGTCCAAGTAAAGTGTAGGGACGCTCAAGGGATGCCCTGTTGGGAAGGATGGGTCAGGAAAAATACGTATGGACTATGCATATCAAGGAATATTGGCTTACACTGAATAACTTTCTTTCCCAAGGCTAATGGCCTTTGAAGAATCTCTGGATCTTTAAATGTTTTTATGCGTATAGATGTCTATGTTTAAGAGCTGGGTTACTGGATATTTTCTAGCTACATAAAAGGTAGGCTGATTCTTACTGGGGCTAAGAACTTTGGCAAGAAGGGCACTGAATTTTCTGTGTAAACCTTTTAGTCATACAATGGCAGTTATACAATCTATAATGTAACAGAGTCATAAAGTATAATAATTACTTGCAACTGTCATATTTTTTTTCCTTAGGATACAATCACATGGACATGGCAAGGGCCAGGAGCGTAAGTTGTTTATGTTTTATTGCTTATAATGATTACTTTCCTTCATTAGCTTTCACTTACATGTGGTATAAGTGTACCTGGTCAAATAGTAATTGCTGGTTATTAGATTATTCTTTGGGATAAATATGCCGTTTATTATTCCCTATTGATGATCATATTCAGAGCAATCCAGGTATAAACATTATATTTCTGCTGCTATGATTTTGGTGGTTTGCAAAAAGGATTTTAGATCTTTATTACAGAATATATAGAGGGATATATTATCTGTTTATTTATTTGTTTGTTTATTAAGCCAAGTACCTGAAGTAAGTCAACTTGCTTCTGCTCTACCTATTTTATTGCCTGGAAATGGATTTGTTGTGTTTCTGTAAAAAATTTGTATGGCTATTGTTCAAGATTGGTTTGGTCCTCCGGAAACAGTGAACCTACTCAGAGAATTTGGACATACTGTTTGCATTACCTTGCCTGAATGTAACTTTGATTTTTAATTTTTTTTTTTTTAATGAGAGTGTTACTCTAGATGTTTCCTAACACATTCATGCAGTGTAAAATACTAAATGAAGCAGATTGTTTCGTTTCTTTTTTTTTCCCATTATTTTAATCTTGGGGTTGAGGTAGAAGCTCTAAAATGTTTAGATAAGATCAAAACAAGAAATTTTGAACCCTAAGTAAAGTGGAATAGAATTCTTTGTTTAATAGCTTGCCATTAGTCTCCTCCTTGGGAACTATTGTTTTTAATGTCCCATCAGAGATCCTCTAATTTAGTAGTAATCCATGGGGATTAGCCAAGATTCAAGTAATTTATAATTTTGTCAATTAATTTTGCACCTTCAGAGGGACTGGGAACCAGTTCTAATTAAGATTTGGAGACTTGACAAAGTCGTTGATCGCTTCTAAATGTCCAGCTTTCAGTTGAATTATGGAAGTAGGTGAATCTATGATTGTGTTTAAAGTAAGTACTGCAGAGATTTCCGTTCTCTCCTTGTGAGCTCCTACCTCCTCCCTTGCATTTGCACTGTGGTTTGCCTGGCAAATTAACTCAGCTGAAGGGGAGAAAGGCGAGTAGCTTAGTGTCCTACCTGAGGAGTTGCAAACACACAGAAGGAGGAAGAGGGAGCTTGTAGGTGTGTTGCCTCGGATCACACTTTGTACACGCTTTAATGTGTACAAAACTCTCATCTGAAAGTGCTGACCTCTGCTGATAAATTAAGTTCAGGCTGAATCAGAATCTGAGGTAGCATGTGATCTTATGCAGATTCATTGGGTTAGTTTAAATTACAGCTTTACTTAATTAGGATTAATTCTTCTGAGTGACCTACAATGTATTTTTGATGTCTTGGCAGAAAATGCTGTTAAGACTTGTATAGTCTTCACTTTCTCAACAAATGTCTGTCGTCTTCCTTGACAGTGTTAGCCAAAACTTAATCTGGAAATATTGATATACCTGGGAGTGTTCTATTTGCTTAAGGTTTTTGTAGCCTATAAAATGAATTGAAAACTTGACACATGGAAACTATACACTTCCTTCCACTTATGAAAAGTAATGTTTTTACTAGTTTAACACTATTTAGAGCAGATAACTGACCTAACTTGAAAATAAATGCTGAGTATAGCATGCAACTTAAATTTTCTCTGCATTGGACTTGTGTTACTTACGGGTTCTATTAGTTATTAAAACTGATATTTGTAGTTTAAGGTTTAATCTTTGAGGATTACACAGAATTGACAGAGAGAAAAGTCTACTTTTAACTTATTGGAGTTTTTAAATGCTCTTGCACAAGGACCTAGAAACCTGACTTTCATGTTTCCTGTCTGCAAAGTTCTTGGTCATTTTCTTTGATTTAGTGTGTTGGAAGTTCCATAGGAAAGCAGGCAGGGGGAGGAAGGCTTATTGTAGCCTTGAATGAGCGCATGGCAAATGAATAAGGTGTTGCTTCTAGGAACTGTGCTTTATCTGCCTAAGAGGATTTTGACGAGCCTTCCCGTCACAGTGATTGACTGCTGTAGCTACATAGATCCTGTATAAAATGTGGCTACTGACTCTGCTCTCTAATTTAGATTTACTAAATCCTTTCCTGGATTTGAATCTTATTGCATTCTAAGGTCAAGTTTATTCCAGTGTCTTGTGTCTCAGGCTACTAAAACACATGTACTGCATTTCATTAGCAGACTTCTAAAGTGTAAAGAACTTAGATTCCAAACCAAGGTAATGATAAAATCTTAGTGGTTATAATTAATCTTGTCACCTCTATGCTGAATACAGTATTTTCCTGAAACAGCAGACTTCCTCTATTTTTATGCACTACACATACATCGTATCTTACTGTATGTATTAATACCTGTATATCACATTACTGCTTGTCTTCCTGCTTTTGGGTAACTTTTAAGGTGCAACTTAAGTGTAAACTGCTTTTGTTCCACCTTATAGAATGTAATGTATAGAAGTACACTCCAAGACCTTTTCTGTTAATTTTGTATCTAAATATGATCATACCTACAAGTAGAAAAGTTACCTGAAAACTTTGGAGCATAATGTACAACTGTTTCACTATACGTAATGTTTTCTTCTATCTTTTTCCTTTTGTTTTCCCCTCTTAGGCTAGAAATTCTGTGGCTTACTTTGTGTCAGTTTCACAATTCTGTGGAAATTGAGGTCAGTAAAACCCAGTGTATTCTGAGCAGTACCAGAATACATAATAATATATTTAATTCTGCAGTAAAAGTTTGTATTTTAACTTTATGTGTTAACACAGTCCGTTTAAAAAAATAATTTAAAAATACCATCTATATTTTAGAAAAATGACTTCTCTATCTGAAAATCTATGTAGCCTAAAAATGGAACAACAAAATGTAGTTTTGCATATGACTTAAGACTTTCTTGTTTGTTTAAATTGAGTAGGTAGATTTCTGACTCTGTTTAAAGAGTCTTTTGGGAACAAAATTCTTGTCTTTTAGGGGCCTAATTCCTATTCCAATTAATATACCAACTGTGTGTGTATTAGATACCCAAGTATGTGAACGCCGATACACAAACTAAAGACTATCTAGAGAAAAATCATTGTAGGTGCTTTCTTGTAGGCCAGATAGATAATTTTTCTGGCTGATTTTTTTTTTTTATTAGACTGCACTATTCAGAATGTGAAACCAGAAAGCACAAAGAAAATTATATCCAAAGACTGAAAACTATTGTAGTGAAAATGTGAAAACAATTAAATCTTTCCTTTTAAATTGCTGTTCTTATGCATTTTACAGAGGGTAATTACATTTCTGTGGAGAAGTACAGTATTTAAAAGCTGTTATAAAGGATATTTGACAAATGTTTTGGAGTTCTTTTGCTTCCATTTTTTTAATAATGCTGCAGCTATTTATCTCTGACTGAAGGAACTGATGCCAGGGTAAATCAGTAGGAGGAACTACTGCAAATTTACATACACATATATGTTAGTGTTGGAACGTATAACATATGCTAATCACAGTATCATTGCTATGCTCTGTGTTTGCTTATTTATGCTGTAAATTCTTCTTGGAAATAATGAATTCACAAAATACCAGCCACTGGACAGTGGTATGTGTTGTAGAAATTTAGTTTTCTGCCCCAGGCAATTAAAATGAATTTGTTCACAGCGGTGCTACTGATCTTTCTTGATTTTAGGGGCTTGAATTTGGGTAGCTCATATAGATGTTACATAAGACAAGTTATGATCTTTTAAAAAAAAAAGAAAAAAAAACTAGTGAGTTTCTGAAATACTTTATACTAAAGCAGGAATTGACTGAGGAGAGAGGAGCAGACCTCTTTGCAAGACTGCTCACAAGTACAAGGCACAGTACTTGAGAGCTACTTGATGAATCTGTTCTTGTAAGAAAGTGCAGCAGATGGGGGAATGTGAAAGAAAAAGAACTATTCTGTGTCAAAGTCATGTTTTTCCCCTGGCCTCCAAAGCTTGCTGGCTTTTATTCCTGATTTGTTCCATCAGCGTAGTGATACTGGCAAATACCAACCAGTCCTAATATTACAAGTACTGCTGAAGATCCAATAACTCAGGGAGATGTATAGCAGAACAACACAACTTCAGTACAGTTTTGGTTAAATGTTAGCTAGTAGCAGCTGAAGTTTGTTATTCTGGGCTTCTCTGCATATAATGTAGGTTCTGGCATACCATATGTGTCATCCAGCAACTATATTGAGAAGCAAGCCTCTATGCAGGTTTTATATATATATTGGCATACCCATCTATCCGTCCTATACTTTGAACTGACATGCAAGCAACCTCATGAAGGAGAAAAGGGTATATGATCATCAGTACATACAGTTTGTTTTGGCTCATGCCAGTTAGTTTTGCTGGCTTGTCAGTTTTGGTGTTCATGTATCCATCACAGTCTGCAGCAGCTCAGAGTTCTTCTCTTACTTTTGGTAGCGGTGCTGAAGTGATCGTGCTATTTCTGTCCAGTTAGGCACAGACATGCAGAACACCTCTGAAACTGCCTCGGATTCAAACTTGTCCTGTGTTTGGATGAATGACTCGATAACAATTTGCAACTCAAAGAAACAGAGTGCAGCTTGAAAGTTGAAGGAACAATCTTTCCATCCCTCTTAGCTTCACAGCCTTTTCCTTTTGTATATTACATCACATCAGGCTGGTAAAACCCAAAAAATTAAAGATTTGTCCTCACTGAATACTTCTGAGATGCAGACAAACATCTAATGGCAGCATTTTGGGTACTGCTTGTCATACCATTAAGTGATTCTGAAAATACAGCTAACATCCTAGTTATTGAGAAGTGTTTGTTTAAATGATAAACTTTATATGTATTCCCCAATTTTTATTTTTTTAAAGACCAGTGTGAAATTTCTGGATCATCATTCCCATTTTGTACTACCCATAGGTAGTTATATGAAATACAACTAAGCTTATTACAACTTTGGTTTCTGCTTCAGAAGCTTTCCACAGGTTTATGAACATTTTATTCACTTAATACATAAATTATCTCATTGCAAGACAAGGGAATTCTTTGTCTGGTACTGAGCAGGGGTGAGAATTGCAGTGATCCCTTCTTGTTCCTTCTATCTGAGACGTTAGTTACTTGGCAGAAGTGGAATGTTTTGAGGGCTTTTTTTAGGTGAGACTGGCCGTGATCTTGCAGCTTACATAATATTTCAATGAGCACTTAAAAACATAGCCAACTGCTGGAAGGTATTTTAATGTAGATCATCTCATTTTAAAAGGTGACTTTTCTGTTGCAGATCTCCAGCAGTTTTTACCCTTCCAGCCTCAACTGTTCTGTGATTTTGTGACCATCTGTATTTATTTAGAATTTTTCTTTCAATTGAGTATTAATAACTAGTGTCCAGTTTGAAGGAGATTTTTTTTCAAAACACCCAACAGCAGAAAATAAAAACACTTCTGATGTGTACATTAAGCAGTCATATGTGATTTCAGAATGTGCATGGGCAACAGTAAATACCTGATGTCCTGAGAATCTAAATTCTTAGTATTTAAGCTATAGATCAGTGTTCATGTAGTGGGTGCTTTTCTTGGTTATCTGGAAAGAGCTGAACAATACAGGATGTAAGAGAAAAGCTTGTGTGAGAAAATGATAATACATTTATTTAAAAACTTGTGGTCCCACTTGCGAAAGGAAGATTAAACTCTGCTTGGGTTCCATGAGGTAAGATTACGACCCAGTCACTGTTATATGAATTTCTAGAAGTATGATGCATCCTTAAGCATTTTAGAGTTCAATTTTTAATTTTCGTTGTAGTCTTTTTATTAATATAATTTTGTAAGTAGCAACAAACTTTATACATTTTTCACCACTGTGCTATAAAAGAACTTGTTTAAAGTGTTAAATATCCTTGATGTAATTCAGTTCTCTGTATGCAGTTTCTACCTGTGTATATTCCTTCAGAAGAAGAAAGAAAAAATCCCGTCTTATATGCCAATAACGTCAGACGTGTAATGGCAGAGTAAGTATGTTTTAATATGGAATAAAAATAGATGTGTGATTTTAAGTTTAGAATCAAGATGATGTCATGAAATCAAGTCAGTGTAGTTGCGTGCTTGCAAAGAGCTTGTAGTCTGCAATAGCGTATACAAAACTTTATGTAGCAGTTGCCCTCTTCTGGGAGGAGACCACGGAGCCACAAATACAGCAGAAACTAAGAGTTGGTAGTTTGGAGTTTTTTTGTTTTTAATATGTCTTCATGTAACAAGCCAGTTCTGCTCTCTGCTGTGGGTATTTAGGCTTCTGAAAAGGTGTAGTTGAATTTGACAAAAGTTATTGTAACTGGATTTTATGCTATTGAGATTAAGAACAGTTTCATGTATTCATAGCCTGTGGTTATTTCAAACAGTAAAACACGGGAAAGTTACTTCTCTTGGAAGTGGAGCACTGATACAATGCAAACTAACTGAAGTTGAATATTAATGTGACAGCACAACACTTGGCTATGGTGTGTAATAACGACTACATTGAATACGCAGACCTTCATTCTCTTTTGTTGCAGTTTTAATTAACCTCTCTTGTTCATTCAGTTTTTGTACTTTCAGTAAACCTTCCATTAGTCAGTGGTTGGTTTTTTTCAGTGTTTACAGAGAACCTTCAAGTCTGTGATCATTAAAATCTCTTGGAGGATTTATGAATCTTCCTAATCCTAATTTTGAAAGAACTTGTGAAATCTTCATTTTCTTTGTGTAACTTCTTTCATTTCTGTTACCGGTTTCAACCAAAGGCTGATTTGTAGACAGAAATTTTTCTCTGATTTATAACCAAAACCCAGTGAGTTTCCTTAAGGATATTGGGTTTATAATAAAAAATAGATTAATATTCATCTGTTGTATGAAAGGACATTTCTCACAAAAGAAAAAAAGCAAAAAGATCTCTGTGAATCAAAGTATCTTAGAGGGACAGTGGACTCAAAGACTTCGTAGTTAATTTAACAGGCAGCTGGCACTGCATAAAAGTGTTGTCCTCAGACTTTAAGTGGTAGGCTGTGTTACTAAACCTTCATTCTTAACTTCAATCAGATCATGGATGTTGTGTGGTATAAGGAAAAATTTTGAAAGTCTGCAGAAGTTTACAACCACTAGCATATTGAAAGCCTTTCTTCCTATGTGTTTATAGGAGAGGAGACGGAATCTTCCTTGTATTTTTGTTTCTCCTTCCTCATTCTCTGAAGAATTAGGCATTTGGGCAACTGTTGGAATGCAGGTCCAAAGGGAAGACTGTCAGAATAGGGGATAGTAAATATATCTTTCTTTGAGATGAAGGAGAGGCTATAGATTCTTGTTGATATGAAAGGAAAATAAATGCATTTAGATATCAAAGTTCCGAAGTTAAAATGCAGATGAGTGTAAAACAGAATGCTGACACCAGGATACCATGGATTACTGTAGACCACTTAAATTCTGGCTATGTCGATGTTATTTTATTTACTTCTGACCACTTCCAGATGCTTACTTCTAGTGGCAGTTCTCCAGACTCTCCGAGTTCATTCATGTGGCTCTTAGTACAGGAGGTAGCAGCTCCCATGATAGCAGTCTGTTCTGGAGCCACAGCAGTTGCAACTCTAACACCTCAGGTGCTGTTTGATGCGAGCATTGCATGTCGCGTTGCTGAAGAAAGGACAGTATTACTGCTTCATCTGGATTTGTCTCCTTTTTCTTGAAGATTGAATTGGTGGCAGTGTACCATTTTGAGAAACCACTTCAGGATCTGTTTTACATGTCTGATTTCCCCTTCCACCCCATCATTTTTTTCTCAAAGAGAAGTTTAATCCCACTTGGATATTTTACGGCAGCAGAGATGGCAATTCCAAATAATAATAATGCATTTATGAGTCTAGAACCAATGTTGTGGCAAAACCTTGTGTCTTGCCTGATTTCATTGTGAATTGGTAGAACTTGCTGAGTGCAACAATACATATGATTTCCACCCCTGAAATCTGTTTGCCTTCATCATACAATCTTGTCTCGTGAACAGCTTTTATTAAGTGTTGAACAAAGCACTTGACAGAACGCCTGATTCTTATGCTGCTTCTGCTTGTTGACTCTATGGAGAGTTTTTGGTTTAGCCTTACTTGTCTAGCTTCTCTGTGGACAGCTACAGATGCAAGTCATGGGGCTCTCTAGATAGTTCCTGTTCATGTACATATAAACCAAATATTTGTTGAAGGAGATGCTGTCATTCACAGAGATTTGCTTCCTTAGGACATCAGTATCTTACTGGATGGATGAATTTACTTACCCCAAATGTGAAATCTTTTCTACTGCAATATACCATCCATATGAGCATGAACACAGTGTTTTGTGGTTCATTTTGGGTTTGTTTGTTTGGTTGTTTTTTTCCTGGACCATTATGGCTGGGATAGAGTTGATTTTCTTCATAATAGCTAGTATGGGTCTATGGTTTGGATTTGTGCTGTAAACAGCGTGCATAACCCAGGGATGTTTTTGTTATTGCTGAACAGGGCTCACACAGCATCAAGGCTTCTGCTCCTCAGACCACTGCACCAGCGAGGAGGCTGGGGATGCACAAGAAATTGGGAGGGGGCACAGCTGGAACAGCTGACCCCAATTGACCAAAGGGGTATCCCAAACCAAATGATGTTGTATTCTTCGTGTAAAGCTGGGGAAGAAGCAAGGGGGCTATATTTGGAGTGAAGGTGTTTGTCTTCCCACGTCACCATTACGTGTGATGGAGCCCTGCTTTCTTTTAGATGGCCGAACACCTGCCTGCCCACAGGAGATGCTGAATTGATTCCTTGTTTTGCTTTGCTTGTGTGCACGGCTTTTGCCTTACCTGTTAAACTGGTTTTGTTTCAACCCACAAGATCTCTCACTTTGGCCCTTCTGATTTTCTCCTCCATCCCACTTGTGGGGAGTGAACAGGAGACTGTGTGAGACCAAGCTGTTGACTGGGGTTAAACCACTACAACCATGATGATCGTCTCACTGATGTGAATGTTGTGAATAGAAGTTACTCAGTCCAGATTACTATTCTGCAAGCACCCTTTCCTGCTGCTTTCAGGACCTTATTTCACAAACTTTTTTTTTCTAAATCATATTTAGTTTATGTTTTAATTAATTCAAATGTAATATGAGCTGATCTCTTGATGGATTGTGTTTCAGTATTTGTGCATTGAACTGTCACCTCATTCCACAAGAATCCAGGTGATACACTTCCATCTTTTAAAGGGCACTATCATGGTAGAAAATGAATTTCAGGTTCACAACTTCTGCAGGAATTTCAGTTGCACCTGTGACTATTTACTTCCTGCAATGCTGACTTGTAGTGATATCTTTCACGGTGGTCCTCATCAAGAAGATGAGCAATATTCCAGCTCTAGTGGTTGGTTGCTTTACACAGCATCTATAAAAATCCGAAGTTTCTTTCTGAAAGGTGTCTTAATGTCACCTGTGCAATTACAAGTATTTTAATATCTATGATATTCAACCTTTGTTCTCACTGACAGATGCTTTTTTGATAGCATTTGACCAAAAACTAGAATCATATGCAGTCTTGTTACAGCCACGCAGCTCACTGTTTCTTCTGGATTGGGGACTATCTGTGTAACCAGTACTGGAATTACTCATACAGGATAGCCACTGCCACTGAATAGTTACTCCATTTTTGTATTCCTTTGGATCATTTTCTTATTCTGCACAAAAGGTTTTTGCAGATTAGGTTGATCTGTATGGCCCAATACTTTATCAATATGCATTGCATTTGATTTTCTCAAAAAACCTATTTTGTTTGAGTGAGTCTGATGTGTGGGCTTCCTGGCCGTGTTCTGACTGCTACTCTGTTTAGTCAATGTCCATTGCATACACAACATGCTGTCACGAAATGTGTTCAGAGTCATTTCCTAATCACAGGAAATGTTGAGTGCTTTTAAATATGGCAACAGTCCATGCAGGTGCTCTCTTCAAAATAAATAAAATTTGGTGGTATCTTGAGTTTTAATTCACTTCACGTGTTATTTATTTCTCTATTACAGTTCTGAAACCACCCTGGTAGTAATTCATGCTGTGTAAATACATATTATATTGGCTCACTTTTAGTAGTATTACTTAAAATTGCAAAATCGTCCTTATGGTCTTCATGTGCATGAGCTATTGTAACTTTACATTAATGATGGTCAATGTGGGTTATTTTGATCAGCACTTACTGTTACTTCTGTATATGGTCTAGTTGAGAGTCAAGCTTTCTGGCGTATGTTGTTACAAATTTTTTTTTGCATGTCTTCAAAATATTAACTCATAATTTACCGGAACTGCAATTGTGTAAAATTTTCAGTGTATAGGCTTGAGGCTTCAGTCTAGCTCTTCTAGAATTTTTAGGAACAAATCATGTGACTTTGCCATCACAAGTATTTATTTTTAAAAAATTTCTCAGTGTTAAGGGAAACATCTCCACTACTGTTAAAGCACTTCATTTTATTTGTAAGATACGTCATTTTAATAATTTCCTAATGTGAAGTATTTATTGTGTATGACAGCTTATTTTGTTTCCTGGCACTTTTGCTATCCTCAGCTAGTAATAATCTATGTTACTATTTTTTTCTTATACTTTAAAAACAGTTTTAAATTTCTTAGCTGCATCAATTGCAGCTTCTTCTCTGTCTTTTAACTTTCCATGTTATTTTTATGCATCACTGCATCATAGTTTCTAATTTGTTGTTATCCAATTAAATTTAATTTGTTTTGAGGTTTATTTGTTTGGGTTTTTTTTCCCTAAAAAAAATACTAGTTGTCTCTTCATTATGGGATTGTAGCCTTCTATTTGTTGAATAGATTCTTGAACACCTAATTTTTATTTTGGAAGACATCTAATAGTCTCAAAGTAATCCAGATACTGTTTAAGCTATAGAAATACTGCTGTAAAGGAAAAATAGGTAACTCTTCCACTCCCACTTTGCAAAACAAAATTTGTCAGTTTGTTGCCTTACTATCCATTATGGCTCCA